AATATAGGAGAGAGCGATCATAAGCGAATCATAGTGATTGTCAGTTAAATGTATAACTTTTGATACTAATGAATAATCGCAAATAATATGTCATTTTATTACAATCAATACCTGACAATAGCAAAGATTGAAAGTTTGAGAAAGTAAAATATTTCATTGAAAAAAAAATCTAGAAATTATGAAATTAATTTATAGATAGACACGTGGTTACGAGAGATTTACAAAGCTGTACTCGAAAGGTAGAAACTCATTAATAGAGAGCACCAAACTCAATTTATGTTTTGGTAAAACAGTGATATTGTTCTATTCTAGACTTGCTATGAACACAAGTGTGATGAAGTTGAGTTCGCGATCATTTTGCTAAAATGTGAAATTGTCAGCATTTGCTTTTTAGAGATGTTCTATTAAACATTTTTATTCAAGCGTAAAAGAAAATACATATATGTATATTCAATTTAGATGTACATATCATTCTCATTCTCAAATTTACTTCAAATTATTAACTAAAAATAAAATACACATTTCTCTCCATGATGTGATGCACAAAAGAGAAATTTTTATCACCGTTTAAAGAAAACTGATTTAATTCGTAAACAGTCGATAACAATCGCAGTTTCATTTGTGAACGCCATTTTAACCCTAACTTGAGTATGTTATACATCAGCATAAACGTAGAAATAAAGGTACTCGTTCATAGATTTGATATTGATATGGATTGCTCTTTTAAAGTCGAAAAAAAAATATAAAAAAAGATTTGAACATTAAGTCAAGGATCATGTGAGTACAAACGACGAGCATTACTTGCCTACAATAAGAAAAGTCATAAGAAAAAGAAAATGTCAGATCAATAACAATTGTTCAGCATGGCATAAATATGTAACTTTATATAAAAGTAATAAGATAGAATGGTCTTGTCGAGATGCTCACAATTAAGGACTGAGGGTTTCACTAATAAAATGTATGTCAAAAGTACTTTACAGTGATTTTCTTATTGGTAGTGACACTGATCAATGTCATTGATGATCTTTGTTTCTTTGTTTTTATAGATATATATTAATCAATCTCAGTCCGCTCTCTTCATTCATTCTTTTGCTCATATTCATTTATTCATTCAGTCCATATATATCTATCATCTAATGAACAAGTAAGATATATGTTCATTAGAATAGACAATTCCTATCATGTCTGCCTTTTCTGAAGAACATCTCCTTCTGTATCATTTGTAATTATTTTCTAGCTAAACATTTTTCTCAATACAAAAATAATGCAAATCTACATAATGTTTTGAAAAGATGACTATCAAATTTGTTTTCTGATGCATCATAAATTTCTATGCTACTTTTTCATATTTTTGATCCTAATTTAATAGTTTCTTGCTTAGACTTATGGTAATTAGAAATATAATTAAGTAGATAAAGCATTATGTTCTTCAAATATTTCTTTCATCTAATTATTAATTTCAGTTTTCAATAGTTCTGTGATAAGTTTTACTAAAATAATTAAGACATTTTTGTTTTTCTGTTTTGATAAAGCAGACTCGAACTATCAATGGGTATTAATGCATATTGGCTGGCCATCTTCGAAAGATATATCACTGAATTGTGTTCACGTAAATGCGTATCGGCGAATACTATTGTGGAATTTTGCGAGTATGCTTTTTCTTCGCATAAAATCGAAGTTGCCAATTTGTTTTATAGTGTGTGTGAAACGTGTAAATATACTACATATTTTCGTCGTTATTTTTATCTTGTTGTCGAATGTATTTTGGAAAAAAATTTAAAAAGTTTATGTCAAGTAAATTCTGCTGATTCAATAAATTGATTATGAATTTCATTCTTTATACTTTAGAAAACTAAGACTATGTTGAATGAACAGAAACTGAAATTTTATCAAAAATATCATAAACATCATATAAAGGTAGTAAGCGAATTTATAGAAAATTTATTTATCACAGAACTTCCATGTGAATTTTCAAAACATGATATTAATGAGGTAGGTCCAATGATGAATGTTCGTTTGCAAAAAAAAAAAAAAAAACTCTAATTGTTCTATTATTAGTGGTTAAAACAAATTTGGCAAAAAAATTTCTTCAAACCGCTTATTCCAAACATGACATTAGCTTGTTTAAATTTGATCAATATTGAAAGTCAATATACATCTATCGATGTCAAACTTATTAAAAATATGACTAAGTTTTGTATGATCATAAATGTTTATTGATTCATTTTAAACATTGAAATTATTTTTTATAGATTCAAATAAAATAGATGTGAATAACAACAATTCCATAACAATTGATTTGTACCAAAAATTTTTTCAATCTCAACTTGAAAAAGTAATTGAAAACATTTCATATCCAATGATTTTTTATGATGAACAAGAAGGAATATACAAATATATTGATAAAGTATATTTTTGATTGATAATTAAAAATAAAATACATTTTTCATTTCTTTTAAATAGGTAATTAGCTACCTTAATGAAGAAGCCAATTGTATTGGACCATATTTATCAATATTTGAAAAACAATCATTTATCGAACAAATATTTATTCGAGATAGTCTAAGTATTGTTATTAATAAGATTGAAATGATACTAAAGAAACAACAATATGAAAGTAAGCTTATGATTTAATGTATTGATATTTTTATGAGATTTTATTAGATTTAATTCACTTGTTAGAACGGTTTAATCAAATGCCAATGGTAAAGAATCAACTGGCAAGTATGTTCGAAAATTTTATATATCAAACTGGCATTGAAGCAATTGAACATATTAAACAAACAGCAATTAATGTAAGATTCAGTGTTGTATGTTGTCGATTTCTATTCTTTTTTCTTTTAGAATCCAAAAGTTTATGTTGAAACAATTGTTGGTATTCATGAAAAATTCTGGAATTTAGTCAACGATGTTTTTCAAAATAAACGAAATTTTAATGTTGCTCTTGGCAAAGTAACCATTTATTTTATTGTCATTTCAATTTTCTCTATTATAATATCAAGGCTTGTTGGAAATTCATTAATCAAAATTCAATGATAGATGATAATAGAATGAAATCACCTGAATTATTAGCTAAATATTGTCATAAACTTCTGACAAAACGGTAAAATAATATAATTGAATATTTGAATTGTCATTTTTTTAAATTTTTTCTAGTGATAAAATAATCGACAAAAATCAGTTTGAAGAGAAACTTAAACAAATTATAGTATATAGATGATTTGTTTTCTAAAATATCTGATAATTTATTTTATTATGTTTATATAGCTGATTTTCAAATATATCGACGATAAAGATATCTATGAAAGTATCTATCGAAAATTATTAGTAAAACGATTAATCAAACGATTAAGTATTTCAACAGATTATGAAGAATCAATGATTTCATCATTAAAAGTAAATTGCATCTTTAATTCTTTGATTTGATCTACTTTTGTATGTTAAGGAAGTATGTGGTTCACAATATGTATCAAAACTGAACCAAATGCTAAACGATGTTAGTATTAATAGAGTTTTAAATGATGAATATCGAGCATATTGTGAAAGTAAACAACTTGTAGTAGAGAATTTTTCTATAATGGTGTTTACAAGTAATTCATGTCCATTGTCAGCTTCTTCAAATATTGTTCTTCCAAATGAAGTAAGGTTAATCTTTGTCATTGTCTTAAGGTTTATTTCTATTTTTTTTAGATCCAATTGAGATATGACAATTTTACTCAATTTTATGCTCAACGTCATAATGGTCGAAAATTGACCTGTCTTTATGAGTATTGTACAGGAGAATTAGAGATAAATTTTATTAAACAGAAAAATTATATAATAGAAGTAAGAACTTCGCCTTGTTTATTTTGTAAATTAATTTGAGTTTAGGTATCAATGTATCAAATGGTTATTCTTCTTATTTTTAATAATTCATTGGAATGGACAATTGAAGAAATTCATAATAAAACAGGAATGAATATTGACGTATTGATACTAGTATTGAATAGTTTATTAAAATCTCATTTATTAATATGTGCACAACTTAATAATAAAGATTTAACAGAAACAAATATTGATACAAATTATAAAATACAATTGGTTAATAATTATCAAAGGTATGATATTATTTTTGTGCCTATTTATTAATTTTTTTTTGGATTATGATTTCAGTGATAAAATTCAGGTGAATTTAGATATTGAAGCTAATCCTAAGGAGATCACAACTCTTGGTAATGTTCAAACAGTAATTGATGATGATCGAAAGATGACTATTGAGGTGACTATATAATCATATTTGTTTCTTTTTCTCCAATCATCAATTTTATTTTTAATTTTATACAGTCACTCATTATCAAAACAATGAAAATACATCGACAACTGGCACAAGAAGTTCTTATAAAAGATGTAATTACTATATTGCAAACAAAGTTCAATCCGCAAATTTCTTTTGTCAGAGTAATTTATTTAGAATTTTATTAAATTATAAAATAAAAAGTGTTTTATTACTTTCATAGAAATGTATTGATAATCTGATTAAAAAAGAATATCTTATGCGAGTATCAAAGAATCCAGATGTTTTACAATATTTAGCCTAACAATTAATCATCTTGTGAATTATATCAATGAACATTTACTGTTGTTTCTTCTTGATTTTGAATAAATAATAAAGAACCAATAATGTGTGAAAATCAATACTTTTTATTAGAAACTTATCTGAAGTTTTCAAATAAATTACAAGAAATGATTTTATTTTATACGAAAAAAATAACATATTGATTATTTAGATAAACCAAACCTAGCAATAAGTTTAAAATCGTTACGTGAAAGAAAAACTGGTTTATCTCAATTGACAGATAGGGAATCAGATCAAAATAGACAAAAGAAGAATATTTTCTGGTTGAAATGAAAGAATTTTTAGCAATGAAATGTTGCATGATTGGCTAGAAGTAAGTGAGACAATACTCTATAATTTGATTGCGAGAAATCAAAATACCATTATATACAAAGAAAAACTCGTGTATTAATTATTCTGAGTATTATTTGTCTTAATAAAAACTAATTATTGAATTATGCAGTATTTTACAGTCGATATATCTACTTTTCTAGGCATAACTTCACTGAACTAAAATAACTTTCTGTCTGTCTATCAATGTAAAATAAAATGTCTTATTTGTTGAATTAATAATCTTTATGGTATTTCTTTTTTTTTTTTTGAATCTGAAATAAAATTGTTGATTATTCACTTTTCTTCGAAAAACTCCGTTCTTTGCTATAAATCTATGGAACATTAAATGTTTATAATTTTCGCGATCGATGACCATTAGATGTCACTCATTGTCGTCTACGAATTATGTTGAAATTTTCCGAAACGAAAATTATTTCATTTGTTTTGGAAAATGTTTAAAATGGCCGAATGAATAAGCATGTGACATCATTTTAAAATTAGACATTCTTTTCTTTATTCAACATGAATAGTCTTTCTTTTTGTAGAAAATGTATGACATGTTAGTTTTAATTTTAGATATGGATACGAAAATCGAGTATTTTCTCAATAATTTGATCCATGGAATTAGCAACGTTTACTTATACGGCGAAATTAATAGTACAAATTGGTTTAATCATTATAAGTAAATTTCTTTTTCTTCTTTTACAGTGCTTTGTTTCATTTGTTATAGGGTCGTATATGAATTATGTACGAATGGATATTCGTTAGATTATTACA